CTATTCTGGCGTAGGTCATGGAAGCAGCGAGGCCATGGCGTGGTGGTGCCCTAGGCGGTGTCCTGCTTTACTTCTCCTACCGCTGATTTGATGTTGCTTCCTGTCTGCAGTGGGTATTCTGGCTAGGGCCTGCTCCTGTAAAGAGCCTGTGTGCAGGACACCCATTGGATTCAACAGAAGTGCTTGAAAAGATCAGTCCTTTTCCTCTGGTGTTTTTTAGTTAGGACCTTGCCTATTTTATCTATAAAATGTTATGCGATCTATAAATTATTATAATCATCTTCTAGCAAAATACTGCCTGAAATGTCTTGAGAGCTATAGTGAAATTGAATATATGCCTGAAAAAGGGGAACACGCTCAGATTTACAGTCTTGACTATTTTCAAATTCTAATTATGTTTCAGGAAAGGAGAATGAGAGTAATTCACTGAGAATGCTGGCCATAAAGAAAGGCCAATGGCAGTATCACACACTTAGAATGCTAGCCCATAAAGATTTTTTTCAATTGCTGTATACAAACAGTGTACACAACTGCATAACTGTTCTATTCTAATACGCATGTAAGGGTTAAAAATGTAGTTCACTTAAAAGCTGACTTGAAAATTCTAGAAAGCTGGTTAAAAATCCTAGCTGCAGAAAAAATTAACCATGTGCTATTGTGAACACCTTGTTTTTTGAGTTCTTGCAGACCTGTAGATTGCTATGCTGTTTTCTTTCCTATCACTTCCCTATTCAAGGTGTAGGTCCTCCCTCTTGGGGATCTTTCTAGATGGGGTGAATTTGGTTCATCAGTCACCAGATCATGCGTACGTTAGTGAACTGCATGATTTACAGAGAGAAAATTTGTTTCCATTGATACTGGAGTAATGTGTTAAAATAAACATACTTGACTAAGTTATTCCCAGAGTATTGCTGTTTGCCTCAGAAGACGCCACCTACGAGGTTACCCTTGTTAATGGAAAGTGAATGTGATGGCTGTTTCAAATGAAAATGGCTTCAGAGAATGAAAGGGGGGAACCTTGATCTCCTATAGACCTAGTTAGCTATGGCCCGGTGCAGCCACATAAATGCACACACAGAGATATAAAATCTTTAATGAATTTATCTGTGAAATACTTGAACATTGGAGTCTTAGTATAAATCTTGGGCATTTTATCAAATATACCACAGTTAAGTAGCTTGGATGAGCAGTATATGAGCTTATGTGAGCAGTAAAGACATACACTGATTTTGCTGTCTCAAATGATTGCTATATATCAATGTCAGTTTACTTTGATCTGAATGCAGGAGGAAAAAAATTGCCAGCTGAGAAGATACCACATCAGAATTCTTCATTCTTAAGCCTGCAGAGTAGTATGATTTCCCAGAAAAAAAATGCAGTGGCTCAGCGAATATCATCAGCAAGACTTCACAAAATTAAAGAGCTGAAGAATGAAATATTTGATTTACAACACAAATTAGAAGCATCAAGCTTAGAAAACCACGTTTTGAAACAGCTTCAGTATCGACACTCAAAAGCAATAGGTAGATACGAAAATTCAGAAAGTAACTTGCCGGATCTTTTAGCAAGTCATTATAATGAGGTGAGAACTTTAAGGAAACTCCTGAGGATGTCTCAGGAGGACGAGAGAAATACATCCAGGAAGCTCAGAAAAGTTGAAGCAGAGCTGCTAAAAACTAAAGATGCTTTGCAGGCCCTGCATGTGCTTTCAGAAGACAAAGCTCTTGCCGAGAGAGAGGAACTTGATCACAGATTATCCGTCCTTACAGAAAAAATGGAAGTGAATAATAAGAGAATACAGGTAATATGTGCATATCATTGTATTTGTGGAACAATAATAGGAGAGGTTTCTGTTCAAAGGTAGTGGAAAGTTTTTAGTGCTTCTTGTCTCATTAATGATTCTGATACAATCCTGTAACATCGAACTTTCTTTTTAATCCAGAGCTGTCCTGAGTGTAAGGTACTAAAAATGGCAGTACTATCCCCTTCCAATATTTTAAAATCTGGCAGAAATGTATGAGTGGATTAAGTTTGGCAATAAAGATATTTTAGGAATTAAGTCATATGCCTTAACCTTGTTAGGTCAGAAGCGTAGTATACTGCTGGAGAGCAGTCTTCAGCAGAGTGTCTACTCCGCTCCCTGTTAGCAGCATGGGGTACCCAGGCTTGCTTGGGCCATCTAGCCGCAATAGCACAGACCCTAATTTACCCTGGCAAAGCACAGGATTAGTCATACACGGAGACCACCAGGCAGCTGCTGATCTACTACCTTGAACAACCAAAGCTGGCTTATCTGGAACTAGCACTGTTATTTTTACGTGGTGCTGTATGGACATACCTACATCTCCTATTCACTAATTACTGTCACTTACTGTATTCGGCTGTAGGGTGGCTGCTGAATTAGGGAGCAGTCGGGTGTCCTAGATTTTAAGGTTGGTTCTACTGTTTTATTATGCAACTGTAGTAAAAGCCTGGTGGGAGTTTAAGAGGACATAATTCAGCTCCTTTTAATATCTCATGCTTCTTTACTCTTATTGAACCTTTCACAAAAAGACAGAGATATAGTTTTTAATACAAAACTGGAAGAGTGACATTTCCATTGTCCTCCAGGAATTAATTTCTATTTTCTGTGGGGTACATTATGCATAAAATTAAATAAAGAGCCAGGTAATCTTAGAGGCATTTCACTGTCTGAAGTATATTTATTACATAAAAGAAAACGACAATATAAACAGCTGAATTCAGACTCTTTTTTTGAAAACTTTCTATTTACAGAAGTCCTAGTGAGAAGCTATAAAAAACTTGCAGGATTGGGTGTCCACCTTACAATTTTAAGTAACTATAATTTCAGTGCATGGCACTGGGTTCTGATGATGAAGTACTTGATAAAGTACTCAATAAATTACCTAGTTTTCATTTACACTAAGCCTCCTTATGCTGCCACAGTTAATAGATCTCAGTGTAAACAGAAATGTCTTAACAATTCTCAAAGATTATAGTATTCATTAATCTATCAGAAAGGTAATGTACAGCCTTATTATTCATGTTTGAATGCCAAATATACTTTTTTGTTTAGTATAATTAGGTTTTAAACCAGGTTTTGCTCATTTTTAAAGTAGCATTTCCAGATACTTCGTCATAATTTCATGCATTGTTTAAAATAGAATATAGTTATTAGAAGTTTACTTTTCATTATATTAACGTGTTTATTTTTTAGACCTGGTAAAAACTGGTATTTTCAACAGTTATACTGAGTACATCCATATTGTAAAATATATGATTTTTTTAAGAGCCTCGAAAAGCAGCTGAGGTTGAACAATAGCACCTTTAGTCGTCAGTTGGCAAATGAGAACAAAAAAGCTGTGGAAGCTGGAATAATTACAAAGAACTTGCAAATGGAAATTAACTCTCTCCACCAAAAAATTAAGGTATTCAAAATTTTAAACGGGTTTCTGTTCCTAGAAGAAGATTCAAATATTTAATGTTATCCATTCCTTTTGCCTCTTTTATATTATTTAGTAATATAATTTTTGTTTCCTGGTTGAGTCCATAGTCTACCAAAAAAAGTCAAAATATAAAATGATGAAATTATCGTAGGGTCTATTGTCAAGAGTTCAAAGTAGTTCAATAACTAATCGAAACAGAGATTAATGCATTACAATTTGAACAAATAATCCCCACCAGCTTGTTACCATTTTGATAGATCTAGGTCAATACATTAATCTACTAACTTCAAATGAGATCCCTTATAGAAACACTTTCAAATCAAAATGAGCCAAATATTACAATCTGCAAACTAGAGTTTAACAAAAAGACTTACGTAAATATTTCAATAGTTTGTTTCAAATTCCAGCTTGGTTTTTAGACAAATATTTTCAGGACAAATATGTCCAGTTCAACACTTACTGAATGCTTGTAAACCAAACATACAGGAAAACCTAAAAGTGACACTAAATAGAAATAGAAACAAAACTGCCATGAATGGTATGTCATATGAGTTATAAACAAGAAAAACAGAACATATTCCAGAAAACATGAAAATCCTTGTGGCTTTTTAATAATATAAACTCTGTTTGTAACACAGTTAAAATATACTTTTTTTTAATTTCTATATGAAGCAACCAATCCATCTGCTGATTCCAGTAGGGAGCTTTCTCTTTCTAAATGGAATCAAATGTCTGTGAAAGATGTCGTTCTGGGGAGTTTTCTCAGACATTGTGAAGGGCAGAACAGGCAACTACTGAGGATTCATAGAGATCTGCATTTCTGTACTGCGCACTATTTGTCCCTCTTACCTATGTATCAGGTGCAGAAACTTCCCTCCTGATGATTGGCAGCAGCTGCAAAAGCCCAGTGAGCTGTTGGGAAAGGAAAAAAGTACAGTGCTCTTCCCAGGCCTTGTATCAAAGTCCCCGGAGCAGCACTGGCAGTGCTACTTCCCTGCCAGGGTCTGACCTCCTCCTGTATGTGCAGATCTGGGAGACAGGAATAATTGTAATCCCAGGAACACTAATGTAAAACTGTTCCAAAATGCAAATTATTCTGAAGTACAGTTCTCACCTTAACGCTTCTCCAAAATACGTCTATTATTTCATGTTTTTTCCACACAGTTTTCTATGTGTGTCCAGTTCTCTTAATGTTATATTTAGATGCAGAAAATCTTCTATTGTTTTAGCACAAAGACAACCAGACATGCTTATTAACCTTATTTCTGTGCCAGAACAGAGTTCATTTTTACACAGTCATAGTTTTGGGCACCTGGCTTAGTCAGACCATTCAAGGTATTCAGACACACAACTCCCTTTCAGATCAACCTTTATCTCCAAATTAAATGCAGGTCCTATTTTTCACACTAAAGATTCATATGGTAAGAGTGTTACTGAAATCTCTCTTCTGTGTTTAAGATAGATTTCACTAAGGAAAGAGGACTCTTGCTAAATACATTTTTAAAGTGTGCCTCTGAAGTTTATGTCCTCTCCCAAGCAATAGGTTGTAAACCAAAACTGAGCACCTTGTAAGCAAGGGCACTGAGCAAATAAAAAAAAATTTAAAAAAGGAAGTAAAGCCAAAAATTACTCAGTCTGAAAAAAATAACTAAGAACAACAAATGAAAAAAAAACATTAGCAAAGGCTTAATCTTTTGACCATTGTGTTACGAAAAAGATCATGTAGGTGTGCTCTTAGCCTTAAAAAGGGAGAATTTTGATTTGGCTCATGAAAGAAAATGACAGATTCCTATTTATGTAAATGACAAAATCATCACATGGCCTGGCACAAAGTAAAACTGCTGACAGTTTTCTCCCAATATGGGAAAATTAAGTTGGTAAAAACTAATTCTTAATGCATATTAGAAGTTTAATAGTGTTTATTTCTTCTTAGGAAAAGGATCGGCAGCTTTATGTGAAAAATATCTATGCAAATTGGATGCCTAGAATCCCAAAAGACAAGGGTGATTCAGTACCTCATGAAAAAAGTAAGTGTATATTCATTTTCCTTTGCTGTTTAAGTGAAACTTACATTGTTTTATAACATATATTCCAAAATAAAAGCCAATATGGTACTTTTTTATGGGCTAAAAATATTCTGGCACATATAATATAGAAAGAAGTGCTTGGTGTATGGCTCATTTATTTTGTGAATACAAATACATTACCTGTTTTTAATATTTAACCCAAATTTAATCATGAATAGCATTTAGTATACATAGTTTTAGTATACTAACAGGGACACTGAAGTAGTGTTGCTATTTTAAGTGTCTATTTGCATCAGGAGCTGATTGCCTATTGTTTTTTAACAACGTGAAGCTATCAGTCCACAAAGCTTTTGCAGACTAATTTTTGTTCAGGCTGTTCCCTTTGACTTGCCCTGAAGAAGTGGCCACCCTTGATCTAGAATTCCCACAACATGGCTCACTAACTCAAAGCACTTCATGAACAACCTTCCTGTAGCAAGTTCCTAATTTTAGTACAGACTTTCAAAGTGCTTTTATGTGAGCAAAAATAATGAATTTAATTGGGTCTTTAAAAACTGTTTTCTCATCTTTAGAATACTTAAACCCTGTATCTTATAAATAGCAGAGATGCTTCAATGTCCATTGTTGAAGCTTCTGCAACTTGCATTTTCTTGTGGTGAAGAAGAGGAGTTTTCAGATACAAGGTTTAGGAAGCTTAGAGGCCAGTCTGATGATCATAATGTCAGCTTATCTGAGAGAACAGGATGTTTGTCCTTTAGTTTTTAGTGTAAGTAAATTTAAATGGGCAACCAGAGATCGTAATAACCCAATTATTGTATATTCTCTCAATCAATCCACAGAATTGATGTTACTTAGAATAATATAGTAGAATGATAGAAAAGAACAACAGAAAGTTAATTTTATCAAGGAAGAAAGAGCTCTTTAGTAAAGAGTATTTCTTTCACGTGGATGCTCAGACAGGTATCAGAGAGAAATACCTATTATATGCAATCTTGTCTATCAACCATTCTAAGAGCAGCTACCTTGCATGGGATTCAGCTGCCTAATTATAGGCATCCAGTGCCATTTGAGATGCCCTAGCACATTCTGCCTGGCCCTGTAGTTGTTGTTCCAGAAGGACATGGGTGTCCCATCGGTCCTGTGTAATATTGGCCAGCCTTATGTGGATACCTTGAATACTTGAGGGCATCTCAAATAGCATTAGGCACCTGTGTTCAGACAAGCGGATCCCACCCCTCGAACTGAGGGAGCAACAGCTAAAAACAATTACAAATCATACAAGCCAAGAACTGTTATGTTGCCCGTATGCTCACTATATTCATCAGGGACAGAAATGTTAAAGAAGATAGTTTTCTTGAAGCACTTACCGATTTCTAATTGTCCTATGCTTTAGATGTAGTATCTAGAATTTACCAATAAATGTGTTTTATGCAGAAACTAATAAACAGATTTCAAGTACTTTCCCCAAATTGAAAGTAATATTTTGCCTCCTACTCAGGATCATAAACATTCTGTCAATATTCTAAAGGAGAGCTTTCTGCACAACAAACTTACACCATTAATTCTGGATAATGATCTGAACATTGACTTTCCTGGGTTAAGTACCTCTTTAAAATACTGGTCAGATATTCCTGCTCCTAAACTGAAGGAGGAATTGGAACTTTCTTCATATGGGTACAGAAGAGCACTTAAAATTTATATGGTAGCAAACATATTTGCTGAAAATACTGCACATGCCCACAGAATTCTTCAAATTATTGTATCAGTACAAAGTCTTATCATAGTCAGTTGCTTATTTCTTTCCTCTTTGTTGCCTTTACAAATACATTACTCTGCCTTAACTACAAGTGAACTACAGGGAAAAGGTTGGTAATTCAAGTTGTAAAATTAAGAAACACAAATTCCTACTTCTCATTCCAAGTCAGACACATTTTTTTATGAAGCCCTGAATTCTAATTTTAGTTACATCACATAACCAGCTGTGGGTTTTTTTATTTTTACTCACATATGGATTTGTACAATATTGTTATTTAAATTACAGTACTTAAATCACTGTTTACTATTTAAGTTCTTCTTTTCTTTAAGCAAGATAAGGGAGCTTAGTTGGAGAGAGACCTGATATTTTTTAATGAAAAGGTTCCAAGCAAAGTTGTCTGATCTTTTAGTATTTTTGGCCAATAAAGGTTTCATTCTCTGCCGGTTAATGGAAACAGATGATTTAGAAATCTAGAACTGGAATTACTGACAATTGTTTTTCCTTCAATTTTCCTATAACAGACTTAGAAAGACCTACTTCTTCAAGCAGTTATTTTCTAATTTGCGTTTGCAAAATTTTTTACCCAGCAGGAAAGAAAAAAAGAAATGTGGGGCTGCATTTTTTAACATACCTGATAAATAGCTGAAGGTAGGCTTGCTTAGGTGATCAGAAAGCTCTATGTACATACATAAAATTGATTTATTGAATGAAGCCATTAATTTCATAAGCTCTCCATGAAGGCAAAGTTTGCTCAGCCGAGGGAAGGTCACACCAGCTCATCTAGAGGTACAGCTCCCCCTAGTTCTGAATCTGAGGAACGTTCTGCTGATTTCTGCTGAAAAAGCTGCTGAACTACTTGCTGGTTCCCTTTCCAAAGGGAAAACTAATTCCCTCCACATCATCAGGGCCATTCCTTCAAGAGTAATCCTCAAATTAGTTATCAACATCCTTTTTACCACCAAACTGCAAACATTTGAAAATCATCATTTTTATGGATAGTCTTTCTCTGATTTCAGAGATCAAAATTGGGAATAGGGTTGAATGTTGATGTAGGTAAGATCACATTTTTGCTGCTGTGCTAGCAAATTTCTCAGCTACTGTACTCGTGTCAAAATTATTCTAAAAACAGAATAAAATAACAATATACTCACCTTACCCATCCCATCCCATCTCCATTCAGCTCTTTCTTTAAATGTCTCATTCAATCACTCCCTTGGAATCTCTTTTCAAAGACAGTAGCTACTTCAAACAGCGTTAAGCATTTCCGCTGAGGAGTTTCGTTCCATAAAGCCTTACATAAGTGCTTAACTTTGAGAAAAGCGTGTAACCAAGTCAGAAGGCGTTAAAGCAAGCATGTTTATTATACTCTATAAGATCTGAATTTAGGAACCTGAAAGCTGAGGCCTCGTACCAGACCTCTTAAATTTACATTAGAATGTAACCACACAAATTAAGCCCACATGGGCTCTAGGGTATAGACACATTTGTCTTACTTTGCATGTTCTATCGGGGAAGGCGAGCGGGCAGGGCGCAGGC